TACTTTTATTTTCATATATTCCAAGTTAAAAGCTGGAGTGATACATCTAGGTTAAATTTCTGAGGAGAGATGGAATGGAAGAGGGGACAAAGAATAAAAAGACAAGGTGTCCCTGAACCTTCGCAACACTTCTGAATCATTGAGGTTACTTGGGCACCTGTGTTTAATTTGAAGGCCTCCATCCCACTTACATTATGAGAACTAATGAGATCACGGCTGGAGGTGGTATGACTGAACTTTTTGTGACTGAGTTATACACATTTCTGTTTTATCCCCTAATCTTGGTGATGAAATCACTGTTGCAAAGTTGAATCAGAGTTTCACTATGGCTGGCATGCAAGTTATTATTTTCAGTACACATTTTCCTCCTTACCAAAAATGGTACTAACAACTGGGGATTATGTTCATCTGTGGAAAACAGAAAGGAAAGAATATGAAAATTACTTTACATCTTTCTTGGAAAATGACTTAGAAAAAAATGTGTCAGATTTTTTTTTTTTTTTTGAAAGAAAGAAAGAGAAAGGGGGAGAGAGAACAGGAGTCTTGTTCTATTGTCCAGGCTGGAATGCAATCTAAAAATAGGTATTAAAAACCTCTTTTATGCCGATAATTGTTCTAAACAGCAGAGACAGGAAGGAATAAGGGAAGAAAATAACAAACAAACAGCAAACCAATATTTCATTTAAGTCTGTGAAATGCTATGCAAATGCTAAAGAGTGATTTACTTCCAATTATGTGGTCACTTTCAAAATAGGTGTAATGTGATACTGAGAAAAATGTATGTTCTATAGACCTGGGGTGAAGAACTCTATAAATATTCGCTGGGTTTACTTGTTCCAAGTCTGATTTCAAATCATAGATGTTCCTGTTAATTTTCTATCTTGTTGATCCATCCAATATTAACAATGCGGCGTCAAAGTCTCCTGCTATTATTGTGCAGGAGTCCAAGTCTCTTTATAAGTCATTAAGAACTTATCTTATGTATCTGGGTGTTCCTATACTGGGTGCATATATATTTATGATCATTGACTCCTGTCGTTGCATTGATCCTTTTACCATTACGTAATGTCCTTCTTTGTTTCTTTTAGTCTTTGTTACTATTCAAGTCTATTTTGTCAGAGACGAAAGTTACAACTCCTCTTTTATTTTTATTTTTATTTTTTGGCTCTCCATTTGATTGATAAGTCTTCCACCAACCCTTTGAGTCTTTGTATATCCTTGCTTATAAGATGGATCTGGATACAGCATACCGATGGGTTTTGACTTTTTATTCAATTTGCCTATCTGTATCTTTGATTGGGGCATTTAATCCATTTAAATTTAGGATTAATATTGATATTTGTGAGTTTCATATTGTCATTTAAGGCTAGCTGGCTATTTTGCCCATTAGTTGATACAGATTCTTCATTATGAAGTTACTCTTTACCTTTTGGTAAGTTTTTGGGATGACTGATACTGGTTGTTCCTTTCTGTGTATAGTGCTTCTTTCAGAAGCTTTTGCAAAGCAGGCCTGGTGGTGATGAAATCTCTGAGTGCTTGCTTGTTTGTGAAAATTTTTATTTTTCCTTCATTTATGAAGCTTAGTTTGGCTGGATATGAGATTCTGGGTTGAAAATTCTTTTCTTTGAGGATATTGAATATTGACCCCCACTCTCTTGTAGTTTGTAGGGTTTCTGCTGAGAGATCTGCTGTGAGTCTGATAGGCTTCCCTTTATGGGTAACCTGACCTTTCTCTCTAGCTGCCCTTAGAATTTTCTCCTTTATTTCAACCCTGGTGAATCTAATGATTATGTGTCTTGGGGTTGCTCTACTTGAGGAATATCTTTGTGGTGTTCTCTGTATTATCTGGAGTTGAGTATTGTCCTGCGTTACTAGGTTAGGAAAGTTTTCCTGAATAATATCCTGAAGAATACTTTCCAGCTTGGATTCATTCTCTTCATGACATTCAGGTACACCTATCAAACATAAATTAGGTCTTTTCACATAGTCCTATATTTCTTGGAGACTTTGCTCATTCCTTTTTACTCTTTCTTCTCTAATCTTGTCTTCTCATTTCATTTCATTAAGTTGGTCATTGACCTCTGATATCCTTTCTTCTGCTTGATCAATTTGACTGTTAAAACCTGTGCATACTTCGTGGCATTCTCATATTGTATCCTTCCGTTCCATTAATTCACTTATATTCCTCTCTAAATTGTCTATTCTCGTTAGGATTTCGTCAAACCTTTTTTCAAGGTTCTTAGTTTCTTTACATTGGGCTAGAACAGGTTCTTTTAACTCACAGAAGTTTCTTATTATCCACCTTCTGAAGCCTGATTCTGTTAATGGAATGCACTCGTTCTCCATCAGGCTTTGTTCCCTTGTTGATGAGGAACTGTGATCCCTTGTAGAGGGAGAGGCATTCTGATTTTGGGTATTTTCAACCTTTTTATGCTGGTTTCTTCCCATCATTGTAAATTTATCCACCTGTCATCCTTGTAATTACCGACTTTCAAATTAGGTCTCTGAGTGGATGTCCAACTTATTGATTCTGAGTGCTGGAATCTGAGCAACCCACTGCACCAGCTAAAACAGGGGCATTAAGATTCATGGTGCTTTTCTGCCCAGGAATCTGCAGTCTGGCTTCCTTCTTGAGTCCCTTTTTCAATCAGCTGAATAGGCGACTCTGCCTTCCCGGAGCTCCAAACGTTGACCAAAAGGAGACCCAGTCCTGTTTACTCTGCACCAAGAACTGCTGTGCCGGGGTGCCGGCAAAACCGCCGTGCCAGCCACAAGACTCACACTGGCAACCCATGGGTCGCACTGGGAATCTCCTGGTCCATGAGCAACAAAAATTCATCTAAAAGTGTGGCATCCTCTCCTTCTTTGCACTTTCACTGGGAGCTACAGTCCTGAGCTGCTAGTAATCAGCCATCTTGGATCTCTCTCATGTCAGATTTTTAGAATTCAAAATTCAGTCATCATTCTTCAATGAATTTTAGGCTGAAAATTTGTAGATTTTGGTAAAATATAATTTAAATTTGAAAACTAGGTAACTATATTTCTAAATGCTGGTTTTCTTTGTAAGTAAAGACAATACAAATAATAATGAACAAAGGCCAGTGTTGCTTAATTGGCTTAATGCAGGCTCCAGTTTAGGATACTAGTACTCATACTTCACTAAGATATTATCTTCCATATACAAAACTGGCACAATGGAGCTTTGCTAACAGAAATAGTGAGAAATTTGTTCTTATGCTTTTCATATTATTCTCTCAGGAGTCTCCCAGTCAAAAGCCTGAGCTTGTCCATTGAGAATAACTGTGTCATTTATAATTATGGATTGAAGAAAGTAGCCTGTGATCCCATGCTTGTAACCTATATTTTACTATTCAGCAATGTTACAATGAATTTTGATTGAAATAGCAAACAATGGGGAATCTAGTCCTGATTCCATCATTGCTCTTTTCATGATTTTGGAAAACTGTTTTCCTAACACTAGATCTTACTTTATTCTGTAAAACAAAGCACACTGCCTTGAATGTAGTAGACATTCAGCAAATATTTAACAAATGAAATACAATATGTCAGTCAATACCCTTGTTGCAAAATAACAAAACTTCAACTTGAGCTGGCTTCTGCACATAAGATTTATGTAACAAAGCTGAGGGAAGTGTAAGGGTGGACCTTAGCTTGAGAAATGGCTGGAATCAAGGACTCTTACACCATCCAGACTTTCTAGCTTCTCTGCATTCTTTGAAATAAGCTAATTCCACCTGACAGGGAACATGGCCACTACAGCTCTGGACTCAGCTTCTTATGCACCTTTGTGACCAGAAAGGAAAGGATCCCTTTTGCTCTAGTTGAGATATAAAAATTCTAAACCAGAATTCTCATTGATCTGATTTAGATCATGAGTTACATCCCTTAGACTAATTAATGTATCCGGAAGAGCGAGTCCTGCAGAAGTGTTGCAAAGAAAACCCCACAAACGTCCTGAAATTATATATGTGAAAGTTTATGACTTTAGGGTAAAGATGTAGTATACCTACAAATGTGAGACATGTTATTTTTTTCTAAGACATTTGCATTTCTTTCCACATTAGCTATGTAGAAGCTGTTTTTAGGAGTCAAAAGTTTGAAACGAGATCTCCATGTTTTCATAGAGCCAGCTCAGAGCTCTGCTCTGCTCTTGCTGAAGGTGTTTTAAGACTTCTATGTCCTCAGGATGGCTACCTGGCTTTCTCTGTCCCTATAAGGACATTCAAGTCCTATCTTAATAGAGGTTTATTTCTGGAAATTGAAAAACAAATCCACAGCTTCCTTAGAGTGGTTTTATCATAAAAATTTTTAATTATCGGAGAACCTGCTTCAATGTGATAATAGTAAAAATAGATACTATTTCTTGTTTGTTACATGCCAGATACTATGTTAGAAGCATTCAGTGGTGTGCTGGAGCCAGCTAGTATTGGTTTATGGGACCCTATTATTAGCATATCTTCTCCTGGTCACCTTTAGTGTATCAAGCTGGTAGCTTGAAATTGGCCTTGGTGAGGTTTTTGCAGTACAGAAAGTGGCAAATGCCACAAATCAGAACTCCCCCACCCCCTGCCATGGGGAACCAGTGGTTAAACGTTTACTAGCACACCACTGGGAGCTTTATATCTATATGACCTTATTTAACCCTCTTGACAATTTTATGAGATTAATCACTGTTATCCTCATTTTAGAATGTAATTAAAAAGGAGAAAAATAAAAGAGGTTTAATGACATAGTGCACTTGTTTGAACCTGGTTCTGCATGCTCCAAAGCCCACACACTACACTTTAGAAAGTAAATGACAGTATAGGTCTTTTCCTTAGCAGCTCTTTCATTTGCCATTTGTCTTATCAAATCACCTTTGATTTGAAACATCAGCTCTTCTAGGATGTAGTCCATCAGTGAAAGTGCCTTCACTTAGCAAAACATCTCTGGATGTACTGACGAAATGCTTTTCTGTGTTCTTCCACGTCTTGCTGCAGGTGGTTCATTGGGGATTGGTTGGAGTGCAGCAAGACTTGTGATGGTGGGATGCGCACAAGGGCAGTGCTCTGCATCAGGAAGATCGGGCCTTCTGAGGAGGAGACGCTGGACTACAATGGTTGTTTAACACACCGGCCAGTCGAAAAAGAGTCCTGCAACAACCAGTCATGTCCACCACAGTGGGTGGCTTTGGACTGGTCTGAGGTAAGGAAATCTGAGGCTATATGTTTTGAGATGTTTTAACTATCTACGCCAAAGCAGTTAATATTAATGACAGCTGAGCACCTTAGAACTCAACAAGTAAGGGTTATGTAATAGTGAATCTGGCCATGTTATATTTTACTGCTGCTTGTCAGGAAGTAAGCATTTTTGCGGGGGTAAGGGAAATCAGCAAGAAACTTGTCATCAATTTGATTAAAAATAAATGTAAAGTAAATTAAAGTAACATTAAAGTGAGTACTCTTATAAGGGGTTTTTCTACTTCTTACTATTGAGCACATCACAAGTTCAGAATTTGAGATATATGGTTAAACATTGAAGTTCAAAAGGAAAGTCAAGAACCTTTCTTACCTCAAAACTTACTGAAGACCTAGAATGACCTTTTTTAGGATCTCATTTGGAATGCACAATTTTTACTATCTTTTTTCAAGTAATGTTGCAGCCTAATTACATAACTCTTAGGTATGAATACTTATCAATTCATTATCACTTGTGACATATCTATATCCAGATATTTTTATTTCTTCTATTGCAACTGTGGAAGAAACATGGAGCTGAAGGTTATAACAGCAAAACGTCAAATTTGAAATTGATCATTCCCTTCACTTATGTGAAGAAGACCTGACCAAGATAATGTTTTCTTGGCACAGATGTGTACAAAATAGCCTAATATAATCCAGAGCCACTCAGAAAAATTACCTTATGAAAAATGAGGTAAGAGGTAGTCGATTTTTACTCCTCAGTATTCATGAGACATATACATACTATATCATTTTCCACATTTCCCAAAGAAGAGCTGAAGCCTTCTATAGTGTGTGTTAGTGTTAAGAATGAGTACCTTGCTATATAACCAGTGATATTTCTTTCAAGTTAGCAAAACAGGATGCATCTCAGACTCTATTCTAATATATCCTGCCAGAAACATTGTGGTACTTGCTCTGGGTATTTCCTGTAGACCTCATACATTTGTCAAAAAACAAACAAAAAGATTAAACCTTGTTATTTAGGAACCTTTGGATATAACTGTTCCCCTGTGAATCTTACTGCTTGAGTGGCCTTATTTTCCTGGAGGCACAGGGCTGAAAGAGGCACTGTTTTTAAGATGGTACATGGAAGTAGAGATTCTGACCAGTTGTTGTTATCCATGGAATCTTTGGCAGGAATTGGGAGTGTTCCTGGCCATACTCCAGCTCCAGCAATTACATTCTGCCTACCTAAGTTAGATTTTTTAGTTATATATTTCAATCATATGTAGAGATATTCTGGTATTATTCTGTCAGTGGTTATGGAAAACAGTATGGACTCTTCTGTTCCCTAACAGGGGATGCATTCGCTCCTAAATTCATTTGAAAGATAAAATCCATTGATAAAGAATAGACATTCTGCAGTGTTGTAACCATTAGTGCCCAGGACTCTTATAGAAATCCATAAATATTCATTGGTATGAGAAATTTGTTATGGGAAAATCTTAATAGGAGACCTGATGATTGGCTGTCACAGTTTGAGGGCTTCCAGTCAAATTAGTAAGTTTGAGTGATTACTAAACACACTGGGATAGGCACCATGGGGAATATGAAAGAATCATGTAAGCTTGGGTTAATGAAAAATATCCATGAAACAACTAGAGAATAATACATTAAGGCAGTGTGTAATAAAACAATGGATTGTGAGGTATAAATGTTTAATTAATATAGAAATTCAGAGCTGAGAAGGGCAGAGTATCCTGGAGTAGTATCAGAAGCCTTTTTAATTAATGCGAGTTGAGCTGAGAATTAAGGGCTATAGAGTTGGGAGTAGGGAAAAGAACAGGGAAGCTAGAGAAGTTATGGCTAAAAAAAGAAACAACTGAACAGAAACACAAAGAGTGGATGATGAAGGCAGTGTGGGAGAAAAGGGTTTGTTTTTGAAAATAATGAAAGACTGATAGTGATAGGTACTAGGAAGGTTGGAATACAGAACTTTATACTATATTGCCCTTCGTAAGCAGTAGGAATGCTTTCTGAGAAATTTCTAGAAGAAATTATTGCCGACCGCTAAAATATCAAAACTTCTTCATGTAAGCCTCATTTCACACTGCTCTTCTGACCTACACTCTTCTGTATCATTATATGTTTTTAAAGAAAACAACCAAATAGAATCACCTTGAGAGATAGCTTGTGTATATTAACTGATGTGTTTCCATTCCAAATGCTTTTAAAGTTCCCTTCAGAATTCAACTTCACATAGGTTAATCTTGCCCTTCTCTTAGAATTTTGATTCTTATCTATCCAGTCTTTGAAATGACTCACTCACATGGCTTTAAGAGGCCCTTAGGCATTTCTAGAGGCTGCCTGAAGATGTACATATAAGCTGAGGACACTTTTAATCACATTTCTGCAATACTCTTTAACGTGGCGGAGTCAAAGCTTAGGGTCAAGAAACAGTGCTGAGGGACTGGAGTACGCATGTGGGGACTATCACCTCAGATAAAGCATTGTCCAAGGGAAGTGCTGTTGTCTTTTCACAGATAGGAAACAATTCCAGGGTAAGCACAGATTGAAAACTGCTGCTAAAATTCTAGTTGCGCACCACCTTTACCACTGTCATCATCCTTTGTTCAAGGTGAAAGACTGTTTTTGCCCCATATTGTTTCTCCTGTTTATTTCCCCAGGGAGGGTATGTGGGGGCTCTTTACTCTCACACTTCCATTCCCTTACTTTACCAGGCAGCCCACTCCTTCCCTTCCCGAGATGGGTTATCAATAAGTAGGAATAAATAACATTAAATGAAATAGATGTCTGAGTAGCTATTGAGAACAAAATGAAAACAAGGAGCCTGTTCTTCCCAAAGGAAGAGAACACCTCCCACTAATGAAAAGAGAAGGTCCCAGCAGAAGGGCAGGCAGTATTCAGTCTCTTTCAGTTAACCTTTGGCAAATATTTCACACAATTTTTTTGACACACCCATGAAATCCTCCTCTTTCTGCCCCCCCCCCCCACTCCAACTATCAGCTGTCTGAGTTCTGCTAACCACAAGGGTGAGGTTCAACTGGTGAAAATATATTGCAGCAAGAGGAATTTACCCTTTGACTCTTTCCTTTTCTTTGCTGGCTACTCCAATATAAAATTTCCATTGTTGTAAAGCCAGCATCAGTGAAACCCACCCAGTACTTACGCCAAAAGAAAAAAATGTTAAATTACCTTGGCGGAAAATGGCTCATCAGCAGACTTCTGTGGAACTAATGAAACCACAGCTTTTGCATGTCCTATAATCTATACTTGGGATCACCCAGGCTATGTTGGACTTTTAAATAGTTTTCTGTGTTTGCCCTCACTTGGCAAATAGCTCTTGAAAGCATTGCTGCATACTGTGGATGGGTTCCAGCAGTCCTAACCCATCCTTTTGATGTATCAGAATGGTTTATTTGACTCTTACAGAATAATGCCCATTGAAAAAGATATATTTCTTGTACTTATTCTTGGAAAAATAGGTAACTGGCATCTTACTCAACTGACTTTATAGTACTTATGTTTAGGTAACATTACTTAAGAAAGATGGGGGAAATCTACCTACAAGCGACTGTGTTTTGCTTGATAAGACAATTGTGTCATCACCTTGCATACTCCTTGGTTCTACTGTGGTCCTTTGACTAAGTAATTTAAAGTCATCTCTCTAGGGAGAACTCAGTGTAACCCCAAAATGTTAATGTTTCTGTCTTTTACAAGTGAGGGCCAAATTGTTCTCCTTCTTGGTTTCAAATACTTTTTCTGCAAAATATATTTTTGCTTCTTAATCATTTAACATTAAGCTGAAGCATAAATGCATCTCTCATAAAAGTCACCTCCTATATTCCACTAAGATGAAAACAAAAAACAGATGGTCTTGTCAGATTTTAAATAATCATGAGATTCTAATTATATGAGTAAAGAGGAAAAAATAGGTATTTACCACGTAATGAGGAATAATTTTACTAAAGAACAGACTCACCACTGAATATCTTCTACCCCACTACCTAAAGGTTTATTATGAGAAAGAGTGAGATGAATTTTGATGTTTATAAGTATTCTTTAATCTAAAAAATTTATTATTGAACTAAGCCTTCCAATTTCTAATTATTACTAATAGATTTTACTGCACACTCAAAAGTTATGCAAAAAATTACTCTTTGCATGGATATAGGCCAATGATTATCTCTGGAGACCACTCTAAAGCATTCATAATTAAGTTAATGCCTAGTAGTCACATATATAACTGTGATTCATCTTACTTTTCTAGAAATACTTGTTTTTATTTTTACATAGCTAATAAAACAGAGTTCTTGAGATGGACAAACATATTAATAGTAGTCCCCCCTTGTACACAGGGGACATGTTCTAAGACCCCCAGTGGATACCTGAAACTGCAGATAGTACTGAACCCTATATATACTATATATTTTTTCCTATCTATACAAATGTATAATAAAGTTTAATTTATAAATTAGGCACAGTAGGAGATTAACACTAATAATAAAATTAAAATATTATAACAGCATACTGTAATAAGAGTTATGTGACTATAACCTCTCTTTCAAAATATCTTATACTGTACTCATCTATTTTCAGACTTCAGTTGATCATTGGTAACTGAAACTGTGGAAAATGAAATTGCGGATTAAGAAAGGATACTGTATTATCAGTAAAGAGGGGGAAATGAAATTTAGGCTTGAGAAAACAGAAAGAATAAGTAAATATAAAAACAAACTAAGGACATCTCTGTTTGAACATCTCTGACATAAGGTCAGAAGGACTTGCTAGAGTTCTACTTAAATGAACTAGGTTTAAGTGGCATCCCTGTGCCTTTACGTATACTTACAACCAATTTTTAAACATTTACTTTTACAATCACCTGTAAGAAGTGCAATATTTACAGAGACCAGAGTTGAGACTCTGGCTATGTACATGTAATATTTGTGGCTGGATCTGCAGAGTTCAGACCTGATGTATTCACTGAGTAACAAATGTGGCAGCAATGTAGTTTTTAGTTATTCACTATCTTGAAAATCTAGTTGATTTTAAGTCATTTGCTATCTTGAAAATCTGGTTGAAAATCTCTGTACCTCTGTTGCTATAACATAAAATATCCTTGACTAAAGTAGTAAACATTGAGGGGCAATTTTTCTAAAATGATTTCTTTCCTAAGTGCATTATATGTTTAGCTTTGCACATAATTGCATATTGTTCTACAGAGGATTAGTCTTTTTGCAATTATCTTTCAGAGCTTTATTTTTAGCAGGAAACTGCCATCGGGATTTGTCTGTACTTCTTAGCACTTGTTTCCTCACCTGTAAAATGGATGTGTAACAGTACTCACTTCATGGAGTTTCTATGAAGATTAGGTAGATTACTACATGCCAAGGATTTAGAACAATACATGATACAATAAATATTAGTGCTGCTTTGTCTTCTTATCCTTCTTTTTTTATTTTTATTTTAATGTTCACCTAGCTAATTTTTTTTTTTAATATACAGGGGTTCACTATGTTGGCCAGGCTGGTCTCAAACTCCTGACCTCATGATCTGCCCACCTCTGCCTCCCAAAGTGCTGGGATTCACAGGTGTGAGCCACCATGCCTGGTTTGGTTTTGGTTTGGGTTTCCTAGGGACTTCTTCGAAGGAGATGAATGAATTGTCTTTGTGTTCTTTTTCTCTGCTAATGGTAAGCACAACTTGGCATATAATTTTAGAAAAGGCAGCTAGGTATTACTATATTCCTAAAATAATAATAGAAGCTTCTTGCCACTGGAAAAAGTTATTAGCATAAACAAGAGATGTTATCTCCCAGCCTTTAATACACATTCACATGATTTTAAAATGTGAAGGAGGCAGGGGAGTGGCACAAGTGCATTTTTCAATGAACGATCTCATTAGAAAATTAATCATAGCCTCAAAATACAAAAACTGAGTTCCCTATAAATCCCATATGTTTTTGCCTAATGTAAGGATGAATTGGCCTTCTATCCTTTTATACTTCACCTCAACTTCTTCTGATAATAATTTATATTTACTATGTATTGTCATGAGTTTGTTTCTGCCAATACTAAGAACAGCCTGTGAATACAGTAATAACAGAGAAATGGATAATGAGTAGGCCCTAAAGTATGGGTCACAAGGCCTAGGATTTAATTCCAGGTTTAACATCTGCTGTTTATCCTTAATGAAGTCTCTTAAGCTTTTCTCATCTGTAATAATTCTTAAAAATTTGTTTAATAATGTTTAATATTGTCTTTAAAAGTATTTTCTGAACTGTTAATCTTTAATGAAATGGAAAGTAGTATAGTAGTGTTATCGTTATCAATGATAATATTAAGCGTTAAGAGAGTGCCAGAAATCCTGTAAGTCTTCAGTTTGAACAGTGGAGGAGACTTGGCATGAAGTGGATTAAAATCAGTGGAACAAGTTCAAGAGATAGAAATGGAGTAGACACAACTGAGGCAAGCTCAAAGACTTGGATTAGGGCTTTGTTCATGCTACAGAAATTATCACATTCCTTGGTTCTTGAAATATAAGTGATCGTTGTATTAAATTAGACAATACATACAAAGTACATAGTATAGGCCTGACATCCAGAAAGCACTTAGCAAGAATTAGTATTAGAATGACTCCACCATTTCATATATGTGTGAATTTTTACCAGTCACTCTAAGTTTTCCCATTTTAAAAACAATAATAATTGCTACCTAATAGGAGAGTTGTAAGGACTATATAAATTATAGCATTTAGCACACTTGGTAGATACAGTATTTATTAAATGATAGAAGCTATTAGTGGCAGCAGCAGTAGTAGTAGTTACTGTAGTTGCAACAACAACCCTATTCGCTTTGTGCCTGACACTGGGCTAACACTGGAGAATACTGCAAATTATTTTATATGGCTGACATATAGAGAGATGAACCTCAAGAGGTAGGTGTAGTAAGCATATATAGAGTTTGAATTTTTATCTTGAAGGAAATAGTAAGCTATTAAATGATTTTTTTAATCAGAAGGCAGTATAACTGGATATGTGTTTTAGAAAGATTCCTCTGACTGAAGTTTAGGGAGTAGATTTAAGTGAGGCAAGAGGAAGAAACAAGAGACCTAGTAGAAAGCCATTACAAAATTTCATATGAGAAATGATGTTTGTCTGAAATAAGGTTAGTGGTAGTAGAGATGGAGAGAAATCAACAGGTGTGAGAGAGATTTTGGAACTGAATTAATAAGACCTAGTGATGGATTGTATGGGTGGAGTGAGGCAGCACCAGGTTATGAGGATATTGATTTGGCTGTGAAGAGGAATAACAAGAATCAGGAATTTCTCTCTCGATCTTCACTCCCTAACTAAAGCCTCTTCTGGAACTATATTGGAAAAAACTGTGTTATCCTCCTTCAAAATGCATCTTAATGAAACCTTTTCTAAGTTGGAGGAAATGTATTCTGTGATTATATTCATTGTAATAAAGAGTTTGCATTGAGTCATTGATTTTCACCTGAAAAAAATGTTAACACTTTCTCTCTTTCCGTGACATACATCAGGCTCAAAGATTGCCCCCTAACAAAACCCCTGTGTGTATGTGTATATGGTGTTCACCTAGATATCCCCATCTACAACTAGTACATCTTGATTTACCTAATGGTAAATCAAAACTGTCACCTTTCCAGAAAAAGAACAGCATATATTTATCAAGTGTTTACTCAGAGTCTTCACCTGGATCCTGGGGTGCGTGTGTGTGTGTGTGCATGTGCACATGTATGTTTGCATGCACATAAGCATGCAAAGATTAAACAAATGGAGTAATTTTAAGGAGCTTATAGTGTAGTAGAGATGAGAAGACATGTAAATACATAATTATAAAACAGGCTGATGGTGTTAGGGCATGATAATTTATGTGTTCTACATCCACTTATATGATACTTTTAACATTAACCTGTGTTTCCATGTCTGTCTCCTAAATAGGACTCTGAGCTTCTTAAGCATAGAGACTATTTCATTCATTTTTATATCTCCCCAGTCTAGTGTGGTTCCTGTATGAGATCTGGAAATGTGTTTTGCATGAAAGGTACATCATATACAGTGCTTCCAAATGTTGTTTGGCTAAGGTCCTCACTTAATTGAGGGCAAGTATAGATTTTAAGAAAGGGTCCAGACATACAGGGGAGAAAGCTAGAAGACTCCAGTCAACTACCATGTTAAACAGATGACTTCTAGAAACACCTGGAGATGAGGTATATAAGATTTGTGACATAGGGAAAAGCATCCTTCCCTCAGTACCAATAAGAAACAGACCCAATTCTAATGAACAACTTCCTTAGATTTGTAATTGATGGACAGGGAAAAGTCCAGAGATTTTCTGTGCAAGAATCCTTCACCTGTGACCAAGTATGCTTAGCAACCGGACATAAGAATAGTTTATCTAAATCAACCCTGAACTTGCTTCACAGTGACAAGTTCTTGTGGTCTACTAATAACATACAAATTCTTTTTAGAAGACCACACCCACCAAGTAGGAAACCAAGGATTCCACATTCCAAAAATTAGCAGAATCTTATCACAGCTGAATGAGGCCAAGGATAGAGAGGAATAGAGGAATCAACCTATCCCCAATAGAGCAAGAAAATGAGTTAGCCAAGAAAAGCAAATGTTGGATTTATCTCTTAAAAGACCTTAGGAAAAAGATGAAAATACCTTTGCCTAAAAATTTTAAGTAATTTTGTATCTGAGAGACTTTGCCTAGAACTTAGTATATGTATATATTCTATGCTAAAACACACATTCCTCAAATTTTCCTCTGTCTTTAAACTGTCGTGATTCATTACTATTTATTTCCAGTGCACTCCAAAATGTGGCCCAGGATTCAAGCATCGGATTGTTCTCTGCAAGAGCAGTGACCTTTCTAAGACATTCTCAGCTGCACAATGTCCAGAGGAAGGCAAACCTCCTGTCCGCATCCGCTGCAGTTTGGGCCGCTGCCCTCCTCCTCGCTGGGTCACTGGAGACTGGGGTCAGGTAAGGCATTTGTACTGTGGGCTTCTGCAGAAATAGCTCCTTGAGACACAAACCTGAGGTTCCTTGTATGATCATTGTAAGGTCTTGGGAGATGAGTAAGAATTAACACGTAGAAGTCTAGGTACGAAGCATAAGTGTGAAACAGTACACAAACCACAGAGGCCACATGTGGACACATACAGAGTGAGCCAATGATTCTCCCATACCCACAAACTTCCCACTTTAGATTCTATTCTTCAGATCCATTGTAGGTTAAAATTAAAAGAAGAGACTAATGGATAGAGATTTGACAAACTACCAAAATTTGGGATTCTAGTCCCAGCTCCCTCAACTGATAAAGGAACAAATCAGTTAACACCAGTGTCTTCTTCCCACTTGCGAAATAGAGATAATTACTCTTGAACTCACAAAAAAATTGTGGAGGGTTTAATTAGATTGATAATGTGATTGACAATCTTTGAAATATTATTAATGTTTATTCATCAATTGATTTGTTTTTATTTGATATACGTTATGAACTGGAAAGTAAATATATAGGAATTCTGGTATGTATTTTTGTATTAGACTCATTTCTACCTTAAGTTCCAATTCTTATTTTTTCTTTTTTCTTTCTTATCTACTTTTAAATTGTGTTATCTTGCTGTAGGCCACCTTAAATTCTATAAAAACGATCGGTTCTCAGCACAAAAATAAAACTTTGTGAAGTAATATGTTAATTAACTGGATTTAGTCACTCCACAGTGGGTATATACTTCAAAACATCATGTCATACATGATAAATAGACATAATTTTATTTGTCAATTAAAAAAATTCTTAATAAAAAAGACCCAGTTGGCATAGTTAGACAGAATGAAAATTAAGTATTGTTCTTCTAAATGTCAGAGGAAATCTACTAGGCTACATTAAAAAATAATGCCCCAGGAAGTAAATATCTAGCCGATCAATGCCCTTATCCTGTAGTTTCATAACTGACCTTTTAGCTAGTCATTTTCTAATATTTGAGCCCAAATAAATCATAATGGCACATTGTGATTTATGCCAATGTGATTTTTTTTCCTGGGCCTTCCATTTCTTATGAAAAATGGCATTTCATATAAATAGTTGCCAAAACTCTGGCCAAAATTCAATATTGTCAGAGTACAGTAATATCTAGACACCTCTTTTATTTGGGAGAGGGCAAAGATTTTCAGTAGCCATGAAGGTAATTAAGTATACTTGCTCAGTGCTCAGCCTTGTGAGGAGAAAAAAGAAATATAATCATAAAATAAGTAATGCTGTACATATCTCTAGCAGTATTTAATTTAATTTACAATATGCTCAAGTAGAATACACATGACAATGTTAAGCATTGTATGCAGTTAAGTTTCAAATTGTTTCACTGTAGAAGTGTGACAGCTTCACAACACATGATTAATATGATGCTGTTAAAGAATCAGGGCAGACATGCTGCATGATTTTTATTTTAAACCAGGCAGGCAGTTCCTTCTCTATATATTCTTTGTTGCAGTGAACTGTATAAAAGTCAGAAGTTTTTGTGTTTTAGTAATTTTGCCAAGTTTACAGTTGTCAATTTGAGATTTTTCTTTTAAATATTTTCAAGTCCTTTTCTTCCCATTTACAATTTCAACTCAGTTTTCTAAAATTCAGAATAACCAGTGAAGATACATATTCAAAGATGTTTTAATATATTTTATAATATATTTATTTGTTATTCTGTATGAAAACACTTTTTTTAAAGGCTCTTCATAAATATCTTTACAAGCCCTGTGGGTGCTTTCAGAGTTTTTGCAAACAGATTCAACAGATCTTCAATCTGTTGATCCTGTAAACATCACCATCCCCTATGCTGGTACCAGTTACTTCCTCATGCCTTTGATCCCAAATTTCATGGCTTTCTGGTATTCTGGATGGCAGGCCCATAGATCAACCCAGCTTTATTCTTCAGCCTCAGCAGCTGATCAGTCCCAACTGAAACTAAGCCTCTCAGACAGTAACTTCAGTCCTGAAATGACTGAATCCCAGAGTAGGTGCAAAAGGAGAAGGAAACATGCTAATTGGTGAACACGGACTACTTCTCAGGTTTGTGTACCTGGCAATCCCCTAGATTGTGGAAATCCCTACATGTGTCTGGCTGGCAATCCCTTAGGGACTTATTTATACTCTTTTTTAAAATTTTTATTTATTTATTTTTTTAACTGACCCCATCAGCAGGCTCCACAGTCATCAATGCTATTATATTGAACTAATAGTTTGAGCACATACAGAACACTTCAACAAGCCATCAGGTTATTTACCTGCAAACCTATAATAAATAGAGAGCAATCATGATTTCCTGGCCCTAGAATCTCTCATTATTCTACTTCATCACAAGGATTTTCTCATGACACTCCTGCTAGAGTTCACCAGCCTTGCATGGATTTGTTGGAGTGATAGCCCAAGAAATCTCTGTGTATTATATCCTGGGAACTATATTGAGTCTATTCGCTAGAGTAATAACATGATCCTTGACTATCCAAACCAGTTTGATAGTATAATAACCTAATCATACACCTCTCAAAGATGAACCACATCTGGGCTTTAAAAGTTAATATTGTGGCTGAGTGTGGTGGCTCATGCCTGTAATCTCAGCATTTTGGGAGGCCAAGGCAGGAGGATAGCTTGAGGCCAGGAATTTGACACCAGCCTGAGCAACATAACAAAACCTTGTGTCTCAAAAAAAAAAGTTAATATTGTGTTGAATTTGAAGTGACAGAGTATATTTTTTACCTCCTGTAAATTGTTCAAATGAATATTTTATTTGTGTCTTTGGATTTAGTGTTCTGCTCAGTGTGGCCTTGGACAGCAGATGAGAACTGTGCAGTGTCTCACCTACACCGGACAGGCATCTAGTGACTGTCCAGAAACTATTCGGCCTCCAGCAATGCAGCAGTGTGAAAGCAAATGTGACAGTAACCCCATTTCTAATACTGAAGGTAAGTTGTCCATGGAGGAGGGGCCTGTGGTTTCTAATGATTCACTTTACTGTTCCCAAGGTTTGAAGAGCCCATAAACCCACTACTGTAGTCTAGTTTGAGTAGAGCATTTGTGAAAGCTGCTTATATGCAGACTGCAATCAGGACACCAAAGATTTTTCCTGACCTTTTAACTAATTTTTTGGCCCTGTTAAGTCACTTAACCTCTCTGGAGCTAAGTTTACTTATCCATAAAATAAGAAATTGGAGTAGATAAACTCTAAGGTCATAGCCAGCCTCATATTCTATGTTTGATTTATATTAGAACTTTAGAGATGTTTTCTAATGAACCACTCTTGAAGTGCAAACTTCTGTTTCTTTTTGGATATGACAATGGATTTCTATCATCCTGAAAATTTAAATTCATTCTTGTTATACAAATAATGAAAGCATATGTTTGAAACTACTTGCATTTTAAGTGCCAATTTTCTTATCGTAAAAATGTAGAAAAATAATTATATAGCTGTTTATAAAAGAGGACAAAGGTCTTTGTGCTCTGGAATTTCTGTGTTTCTTACACATTGGGAAATCCCTTTATTAACAGCAGATGCACCCCCCACCATGACTTTTTAAAATCTGTTATTTAAGTGAGAGTACTTTCTTTATTCATTTAGGCATTCATTAGAAATTTCTTGAATGCTACTATGTGCAAGTCACTATGACAGAAATTATCAGGAATGTGAAGACAAATATGGCATAGTCCAGAAGTTTAGATTGCCTTCTCATAAGAAAATAGACGCAGAATCAAATATATGCACATGAACAACATCCGAAGCCACAAATGTAAATTATAGGGCCCTGAAAAAAGAAACCTGTCACAAATAAATAGTCAAATAATTTTTAATACTTTTCAAATGAAAATGTGTGTTTATAAACCTCCTCAAAAGAGATCTAGTCCTTTTGATCAACTCTGTGTAATTCAAAGGATTTTTAAAAATTATATTCACTATTTAAAAATATTTTCTTGGGACTTTTGTTTTAAGAAAGTGATTTTATATAACAAGATCTGGACACCTTACATCTTTACGAATGGTCTGTATTTATACTTAAGCCTCAACACAGTGCATCTATTATACATGTAATTAACTCTTTCAAAGAAGTATAGCCCTATGCTACATTAATTCAAAATCACAACTTGAAATTTTGCAAAATCTCTGGCTTTACTGCTACTTTTTGTCCCTTTAGATTCTGAAAATCTAGCTTTACCTCTCTTAAGAAGAGCTCAAAATCCATAACAAACAAAAGTATTTTTCTTGGAAAAAAATGTCTTTTAAATTATCTTAACAAAAAAATCTCTTGGCCAGGTGTGATGGCTCACATCTGTAATCTCAGCACTTTGGGAGGCTGAGGTGAGAAGATCACTTGAGCTCAGGAATTCAACACCATGCTGGGCAACATAGTGAGACTCTGTCTCTACAAAAAATAAAAAAGTTAGCTGGGTATGGTGGTGCATGCCTGTAGTCACAGCTCCTTGGGAGTGAGACTCGGTCTCCAAAAGAAAAAAAAGAGGGAGAGAGAGAGAGAAGAGGTTCTAGTGTGAAAATATTGCAAAAGTGGTCTGTTATGGCTTGTAGGAAGCAGATCAAGGGAGAAAAGAAATGCCTTTTAGCAAGGAAGAGTTGGTGAGAAAATTGGAGAAGGAGCAGTTTCTGGTTAATGCAGGAGGGTAGAAGAGGATCCCCTTTCCTCCAGGACTGTCAAGTTACCATGACTCATAGTGGGAGACTACTGAAAAACCACTTCATCTCTACCCCAAGACCGGGCAGGATTCAGGGAGATGTATTGGGATCTAAAATACAGTCTTTCAGTTGAATCTCTATGAATGAAATGGGCCACAGATAGAATGTTGAGAATTGTTTTGACTATCAAAGTTTAGGTAATGGTTTCCCTGCTGCCAGTATTTCATTATGAAAAAAATTAAACATTTCAAATATACAGCAAAGTTGAAAGAATTTTACCATGAGCATCCACCATCTAGAGTATATGACTTATAATGGTTAAAAAAAAACTGCAATAACTTTTGCACCAAAAGTGTGCAGAGGGCAAGTGTGTGCAGTAATGGGCATGGAGGCAGTTCACTATCACTGCAGTGGGTTGGCAGATGAGCAGGCAGTGCAGATGAGGCTACAGAGAGGGAGGCAGGGACTTGGTTTTAGAGACTCTGCATGCAGTGGAAGGAAGCTAGGACTCTATCTTTGGGTTATAGGGAACAAGTGAAAAAAAAACTGGGATATGACATGCTCAGGATGACAGGAGGTTAAAGGATCAGAGGGAGGGCAGCCTCGTGTGGGAGTAGAATGAGAAAGAATTGTTCTAAGAGTCCAGGCAAGAGAGGATGAAGGCGTGAACTAAGGCAGATATTGTAGGGATTAAAAGGAGGGTGATGGGCTGGGTATGGTGGCTCATGCCTTTAATCCCAGGACTTTGGGAGGCCAAGGTAGACAGATCACCTGAGGTCTGGAGTTCAAGACCAGCCTGGCCAACATGGAGAAACCCTGTCTCTACTAAAAATACAAAATTAGCCAGGTTTGGTGTCACATGCCTCAGCTACTTGGGAGGCTGAGGCAGAAGAATGGCTTGAACCCAGGAGGTAGAGGTTGAGGTGAGCCAAGACCACACCACTGCACTCCAGCCTGGGCAACATGAGCGAAACACTTCATCTAAAAAAATAAAAAGGCCGGGCAGGCAGTGGCTCATGCCTGTAATCCTAGCACTTTGGGAGGCTGAGGTGGGTAGATCAAGAAGTCAGGAGATAAAGACCAGCATGACCAACTTGGTGAAATCCCATCTCTACCAAAAATACAAAAAAAAAAAAAAAAAAAAAAAAAAATAGCCAGGCATAGTGGCATGTGCCTGTTAGTCCCAGCTACTCTGGAGGCTGAGGCAGGAGAATCCCTTGAACCAGGTAGGAGGAGGAGGCAGTGAGCCAAGATCACACCACTGTACTCTAGCCTGGGCCACAGAGCAAGACTTCATCTCAAAAAAATAAAATAAAACAAGGGTGATGAACTGGGGGAAAATAATAAAATGAAAAGAGAATAAAAAGAGCCTGATGAACAATTTGACATGAAGATGAGTGATATGGAGGCATTCAAGATGACGCCTATATTTTAGATTTAGATGACTGTGTACTATTATTAGTCATGAAGGAGTTCAGGCACCTGTAGGAAAATTAAACGTATTAGTCCCCTAAAGCTTTAATAAGATAATGGAATTTGAATAAGATTAAAAAATAAATGGAGAGAGATTGAAGAGATGGAGGGAAGTTAAGCAGCAAATGATAGTAAGAGAATCAGAAGTAGGGTATCAGAAAATTAAAATAGCAAGAGGGAAATGGGAGGAAGAAGGAGAGAGATACAATTTGCTTTGTTAAACATCTGCTTTAGTTTTTTTATTTCTGAAAGCCTTTGGCAGAGAGTTAAAGCATTATAGGCATGATCTTGACAAACTGCCACTGATGAGGGTAACACTATATTGCTGCTAAAAGTGAATTATAGACACACTGTGTATCAGTACATTTGAAATAATACTCAGAGTAATTTTTAAAAGTACATATGTCAGTTGGGACTAACCTACTCAAGCTCACCTGAAATTCTATCCAAAATGCCATTTTATTCATCTTTCATGCAGTTTCAAGTTCCCTTGTAGTTTATATAGTGAGTCTTTTCAGCTTCTCAATAGCACAAGGCCCTCTGTCATAGAGTATTTATTGCTGCCAGGTAATGATTCATGGTGTGCCATGGGCTGGTAACCAAGCCAGGAAAGGTGTGGTTAGTGTATAATGGTTGACCAGCCCAGGATGTTTAATGGTGGCTTTGGTGGCTCTCAGACTCCCTTATGTAAATAGCTCTGGGAAAGCTTAGGCAGCTCCAGAAATCTTAAACCCAGATTTTTGGTCCAACTAGCTACTGCATTTGGGTTTTAATGTGGAACCTGATGTATGAAAATCAGTAAAGGAATGGTAAAAGTCATTTGAAGACTTTGGTTTCAAGGAGGTGAGGAAGACCAGTTATTTTCTTTGCCACTTCAAAGAGTTCATAATCCACTTAGCATTGAGGTTCATATTCCTGGCTGTCTGGTCTGGAGGGAACCCTGGATTGGGTTTGAGATTATACCACCTCCAGGTTGAATGTTGGTGACATCCAGGGAATAAGACTAAATAAAAGAAACTGAGAAAGCAAAGGAGAAAGGAATGGTCTAGTCTATGGGAAATTGAAATCAGAATAAAGTTCAATAGCTGATATCATCTTGCTTCAAGGATAAAAATAAGCTGATGGACTGTTCTATTACAATGAATAATGTTAGGTTCCCAAGCCAAAGTTGCCATTTCATCCTTTTCTAGCTTGAATATGTAAAATGTCAAGGGCTCAAGTACAACTTTATTAGGAAAAGTATACTGAGTTCACATTCCCCCCACCCCCACCAACTCCTGTACCACACATGCACAGCCTTTGCTATCTCACTTCTTACCAAGTTCTGCATTTCCATGGGTAGTTTGTCAGAAGCACAGCTGTTTGTACTTTTTAAATCCAAAAGATAGACCCTTAAGTGCTTAAGTCATAACTCTTAACTTACTGTGTTCTTCTTCTGAACCATATAAGGAGTTTACAGAAGGCATCCATTCTCCAAAGAGAGATGCTGTATGGTCCAACCTGGTCATGAAGGATCTCTCCCAACTCCAGTGAGACAAGTAGGCAAGCTTTGCAACATTCAATGAAATAAATGCAAAAGCACTGCACTTGAGGACTTGGGTCTTGTATTTCTTGGACCAAATCAAGTCTTCAAAGTCACGTTTAATCTGAATCTAATTGCATTCTAAATCATGAACCTCTTTTCAGTGTATTTTGAAAGCATGTCTTTTAGGTCAGAGTTTTAAAAGATTAACACCTGATGAAAAACCCACTGGCACATCAATGATAAGTAGGTTCATGTGTTGCCTATGAAACAGGTTGTCTAATTTT